CCCTCAACTGAAACATGGTTTAAAATATGGGCATATTTCATGGTCTGGTGAAGGGTACAGTTCTCTGTTCCAATGTTTGCACTGTTGATTTTGGAACACTTCATATTCCTGCGAAGGCAGAGGTCCAGAGACTAGGGCATTAGCCTGAGTGGTGGGATACCCAATTTCAGTTTCTGCTCACATAGACTTCCTGCATGGCATTGAGTCCCTTAGTACCCCTGTGTGCCTCCAGTCCTGATTTCTAAAATGGGGGTGTTCAGCCCCATTTCAAAAAGTACCATAAAAATACACATAATAATCTGATGCAACACTTAGATACTATGGTAACAGCAACCATCTAAGCACCTTGTATAGATGTATTCTGCAGTGTATTCACACTAAAAAAAAAAAAAATTACATATAGTGGGGAGCACTTAAAATGTTGCCTTAGAAAGAATAACTAACCAACAGTAAGAATGGTTTTTATATGCATTTTATATCCCGCTGTGGAGTTTTATTCACATGGAGAAGGAAGAAGGGGTGTATGTGTGTGTGTGTGTGGTGGGGGGGGCTAACATGCTGTCAGTACTGGTTACTATATAAACCCCAAAACATTTTACTCTATTTTGTGTGTGTGTGTGTGTGTGTGTGTGCGTGTGTGTAAAAAACAAACAAACAAGCAAACCCCAAAGACACAAAGTAGTAGTGGAAAATTCATTGTCATTTTCATCTCTTGAACTGGGTGGAATCTGCACGTCTGTTCCTTTCAGTGATGATGAGTTGTTTTAAGTCACATAAAAAGAAAAATACTACTGAAACTTTTGTGAAATTGATATTTTGGGATTTGCTTATTCTCAGCAATTTGAGTTTAAGGTCTGGATTCAACAACAAACCTAACTATGTGTGTAACTACGCACATGAGCAGTTCTACACAACTACTCCAGTAATTAAGGTTAAGTATATATAAAAGTATTGTTATTGAATCAAGTCCTTAGAAACTGGGGGAAAATTTTGCCTTTCCGGTATGCTGTGACATTTCACAGATCCAAAATGTTTCTGTGCTGGCTGTGTCCCTTCCCTTTAGTTTTCTTCTTTTGCAATTTTTTTTGTAGCCAGTGAGTAAAGCAGCAGTACTGGCCAACATTTCAGCGAGCTGGGTATTGACAAGAGGGAATGTGATTTATCTCAAATTCTTTCTGCTTCAGTCAGTACTAAAAATCAGGATGGTAACCAAGGACTTTGTCACCTATCCATTAAACTCCATAGGTAATCTTTCTGCTCTAGAAGGCCAAGCAAGTTACATTCCTTCTGCTCTTTCACCGTTATTGTATTTAGGGCTGCCACAGTAATTCCATGGAATAAGCTAGCCAACAGCTGGCACAGCACTTATGATTGTAATTTATCCTTTTCAGACAAAGCACATGGAAGTATCTGTTCTGTTAGGAGGTAGCTTAGACAAGCAAATAAGTCAGTCAGCAGGAGTTGACTGGTGCAAGTCAGGACTGGCTCCTTGCTATGGTAAGAACCTGTACCTGGGGAATTCCAGTCATAACTGATATGTGTAAGTGATGTGTGAGGCTTGTTCTTTTTCTTTCTTTTACATTTATACCAAAAAGTGCATTTCAATTCGATTTTTTCCATATAAAAAGGAGACTAAGCTGATAAAAATTCCAAGATGGATAAAAAATGTTCTGTTGAATTTGGCAAGGGCAGGGACCTGGAAAGCATATTTTCTCCTCCTCTTTCAAGAGACATATAAAAATAACCTAGCTAAAATTACACCATACCACTTACACTTTGTACTTCCTATTACAGGTGCCTCTCTCAGAGATAGTCAATCCTGGCTGGCACTGCCTAACCCTCTTATGTATTAGGCAACTTGAAATTTGGAATTAAAAATGCTTTCAAATGAAAACCCATGAGTCCCATCAGAGCTAGGTTTTCATCACAAATCCAAAACTTAGTCAAAGTTCAATGAGTACTGACATGCCACACAGAGAGAGAGAGAGAGGGAGAGAACATGATACATCATTTTATCCTGAAAGCCTGGCAAAATTTCAGTTTGGCCCCATAATTCCTCCATTTCAGCTTCCTACTGCTTTGAGGCTTACCGTTTAGAATGCAACATCCTCCTCCATAGCTCTGTGAGGTTGCTAAGATGTTCTCTGCTGCTGTAAATATTTGTCTGGCTAATGGCCTGGGAAGGGCATTGTCTTCATAAGCAACTGTCCCTAGAGGGCTGGGTAATAGAGCTGCAGCTTTGCAACCTCACTTGGAAGTCATTTGACATCTCTTTGAGTACTATGACTATGCTTCATCGCCATGTGAATATATCACAAGTAAAGTTGTTTTATGAAACTGTTTATGAAACTGTGCTGACATGTAAGCAAATTGCTATCACACAGTGAAATCTGTGTATTTCATTCTAAAACAGGACTTACATAGTCTAAGTCGAGGAAGCTCCTCAGGCACAGCAAGCCAAATTAAAGATCTGGGTGGTTGTGGGGAATGGAGCTCTTGCTTTCTTTGGCTTGGGCCAAGACTTTTACAACTATATGTGAAGCACTGTGCAGGTTCCTAATTATTTTAGGCATTTAATTCTCTCCCTGAAGCCTGTAGGGATTGAATAGCTAAGACCACCCATTTAGTTCTGAAATTGCAATCCTTAATCCACCTTGTGGCCTTACCATAAAATTTGGTGTTCAGATCCTACTGAAACTCTCCCCTATAATATGGAGAAAAAAAATCATAAGATTGTCCCAAATGAAGGTGACAAGAAAGCATTAGCAATTGCTCTTGTTCTCATGTTAGGGCAGATCAGATTTTGTGTGGATTGTGTAGGTGCTTAGCATCTGTAAGCAGTTAGAACAAAAAACTAAAGATTTGGGATTCACAGGGTCAATTTCTGGCATTGCCACTGACTCATGTGATCTGAGGCAAGTCATCACCTTCAAATAAGAGATAATACTTTCCTACCTCACAGGAGTATTGTCAGCTTAAAATATATAATGTTGATTTAAAATCCTTGATGAGAAACACAGAATAGCTCCAATTTAATAAAGTACTTATGCACATGCATAACTGCAAGCATGAGAATAGTTCCACTGGAGTCTCCTGGTCAATGAAATAAATGTCACTACACATTTAAATTCCTCAGGTGCTTAGATACATTTCTGACCAGGGGCTTGTAACTTATTTTTCCATGTCTATATTTTCCCCTTTCATTCTGCAGCTGGAAAAGAATTTTCACAGCTCAATTTTCACATTTTGTACCAAATCGGGGTTGGACGCTCTATGAGATGCAGAGCACACCTTGAGAATTCAGGATGCTCATAAACATTCAGGAGGTACTCAGCACCCCCCTGATTGGGCCATATCTATGGAAAGTCATCCAAAAAGAAGAAATTGCAGGATATCTGAGGTGAGGTCATGTAGTGGTGAGCCACATGACAGGCATTGCTGTTATCTGATCACATTACATGGAATGATAAATGTCTTGCTTTAGTCCAATGGCATGCAGTAAAACTGCTCAATGCATATATACCCAACATCACCTCTCTTATTCATCATCCACATTCACTAAACAGGAAACAAGGTAACTTTCCTTATCCAGCTTAAATTAACTGTGTGTGCAGCTTTAGCAGAGTGACACAAAGAGGCGATTAACACCATTCTTTTCAAAGTTTAAAAATACAAGTCCTTTTTGCAGAACAGCCCCAGCTAATAAACTTAACAGAATAACTATCTGAACAATTCTAAATTTACTATTGCTTCCTGTAAGAGAAAGAAAGAAAAAAAGAGAAAGCGAAAGAAAGAGAAAAGACATTATGGCATTAGCCACTTCTGTTAATGTAATCAAGTCAATGGCAGAAACTTGGCTTGCCATTTCAGAAGCAATCATTTCAAATACCATCAAACACTTTTTTTTTTTTTTTTTTGGTAGAAAAATATAGAAAAATGCTTTTCCTTCCTTGTTGCTTCTGCTTCTGGTTGCAATTCAAATATCTCAAAGTCTTGACAATAATTGCAACATTTTGTGCTGCCAATATAGGCAAATGTAGTTCTAATTTATTTGTATTTCTTTCAATTTCTATTAAACAGAAAGGGAATATTTTGCACCTGGATAGATGCCTGTGTTTTTGAATCACAAAACATTAAGCATCTTGACCTATACTGATTTCTATCCATTATGTCTCATTTTTCATAGAATCATAGAAAATTAGGGTTGAAAGGGACCTCAGGAGGGCATCTAGTCCAACCCCCTGCTCAAAGCAGGACCACCCCCAACTATATCATCCCACCCAAGGCTTTGTCTACCAAGGTCTTAAAAGCCTCTGGGTAGCCTGCTCCAGTGCTTTACTACCTTCCTAGTGAGAAAGTTTTTCTTGATATCTAACCTAAACTTCTTTTGTAGAGGGACTCAGTCCCATGAGACCGTTGCTCCTTGTTCTGTTATCTGCCACCACTGAGAACAGTCTAGCTCCATCCTCTTCAGAAAACCCACCAAGGAGTTGAAGGCTAATATTAAATCCCCCCTCAATAGTCTCTTCTCCAGACTAAGAAGTCCAGTTCTTTCAGCCTTTTCTCATAAATCATGTTCCCTGGGCCTCTATCCATTTTTGTTGCCCTCCACTGGACTCTCTCCAAACTTTTCTCATGTCTTAAAACAAAATAGTAATGAAACCTATCTTTCAGAAGCAATTCTAATATCTTCTGTCCTAAAATTTGGTGCATGTCTAGAGGGATGCTTCATAGTTATATAACTGTGAGAGGAGCAGGGGATTCACAGGTAGTAAGAGGCAAAAACAGAAAAGGGAATGTGATGGCAAACAAAAGGCAAGCTATGTGCATTTTTACGTTTAATATTGAAGAAACCATGTAAAAATAATGTTCAGATTAAAATCTTTTCCTCACCAGCTTTTTGTGCCACAGCTTTCTGTTCACAGGACATAGGAGAAGGAAGTAAGTGACACAAATAAACTAGTTAGAATATGTGAATTAGTTTATCAGAAAATTGGCTACAAATTTGTTGTTGAAATGTTTATACAAGATAATTTTGCCTGACAAAAAGTGTGGATATGCAAATGACAGTTCTATGATGCCCCACATTTTGTGGTGCCATTTACAAAACCATCCATGGGGCACCATTTTCAAAATACGTGGCTGGACATGTAGTTTCTTGTGCCTTTTCTTTCCCTCAGTCAGATATTCCACAGTTCTTCCTTAGAAAAAGAAAAATGAAGCCAATAAGATTTTGTTACATAAACACCTGCAAGAGTTGGCCTTATTTTTTGTAGTACCCATAAATCTGAAATATTTTTCCTCTGTATAGTTTGTTTCTTTAATCTGAAGGAGTAGCAAAGAAATGTAGATTTGATTCAGCAAGAGCACATGAGCCGCCCAGCTCCTGATTGAAAGGTGTAGCAAAAATATTTATAGCTTAAATATATATATGTATAAATTACTTTTTATCCTTTCAGTTGCATGTTACAAGAAACACATCTAGGAAAATCACACCAATAAAAATCAAAACAGTCCAGGCAGGGCAGGAGGGGAAACAGGTCTTATCCTTGGGTTTCCCATTCCCTTACGTTCTTGAGCTCTTTTGTTCTCTTTCC